GCATCCAGGAACAACTCACTACCGGCGTCCGGCTCACTCTCCCTTGTCTCCTCCCCACTGGTCCAAGGCTCAGGCACCTCCTGGCGGCCAACCAGCCTCTCTGCGCTATGCTCGGAGTCAGAACCTTGTCCAGGGTCCTCCACATCCTCCAGACCCGACTCATAGGGCCCCTCGCTGTCGGAGTCTGGTGGCAGCTCCAACGGCTCCTGCTGGGCCACAACAGAGGGGCAATATTTTTATTTCTTTTATTAGCTATGTAGCACAAGTAGTCCTCAACTTACAACAGTTCATTTAGTGATGGTTACAACAGCACTGAAAAAAGTCACTTATGACAATTTTTCGGGCTTACAGTCTTTGCAGCATTCCCATGATCATGTGATCAAAATTCTGATCCTTGACCACTGATTCATACTTATGACCACTGCAGTTTCCCAAGGTCACATATCCTTTTGCAACGTTTTGACAAACAAAACCAATGGGGAAGCGAGATCCATTTAGCAACAGTGTTACTAACTTATCAACTGCAATGATTCACTTAACAACTGTGACAAGTAAAGTCGTAAAATGGGGCTAAAACCCACTTAACAGAAATTGATGGGCTCAAATGTGCTTGTAAAGCAAAGACTGCCTGTATTTTTATTAACTCTATTAATAATTGCTTTTATTAGTGCAGTTTGGATATTATTGTTAACCACTGTTGATTTGGTCCGATACAATTTATATACGAAATAAATAAAACATCTAGTTAAATAGTAAATCATTTCTGCGGAGAACCCATCTTACAAATGCTTCCCTTCATTTAAGTTCAAGTCATAATGCAGGAAAATGGGAACATTTTGGGTGTGCATAAGCAAATAAAAATAATACCGCACATATATTCACATTAACAAAATAAATTTTTTAACAAAGAACCCGATTGTTGAACAGATCTGAAAGTTTTTATTTCGCTAGGGGTGTTTTGCTTAAGCTATTAATCATCAAACCATTTCAGTTGACCGCACATTCAATAGTGATTGGTTGATTACCCAGGATCCTCTTGGTTTTGGGGCATTCACTATTATAACCAAGAGTCTCCTCCACATATTTTTCTTGTTCTTGGGTTGGCCCTGGTGGGTTGGGCAATATTATTTGGGTGATTTAGCTCTGAAGTTTCAGAAGCTGTTCCTAAACTGAATGTATTCACCACTTATTCTTATTTCCGTGTGCAGAACACAGTATTGATTTGCAAAGATAGGGTGGGGAATAGTAGTACAATTAGTAGTACCATTTAGATCCTAAAAAACTGGCTTCTATGTATTCGAATTTACAACCTAAATGCTGGAGATGTGACTGTGTTGATGCTACTTACTTTCATATATGGTGGACTTGCAAAAAGGTTAAAAGGATTTTGGATAAAAATATGGTGGATTATGCAAAATGTTCTTTAAAAAAGGATAAAGTTTATCTCCTCAAGTTATTTTTGTTAGGTATAATTACTGATTGTACAGTTGTAGAGATTAACTTGATTTTGCACTTAATAACCGCAGCTAGACTCTTGGGGGCGCAATAGTGGAAGAAGGAAGATTTGCCTACGATTCAAGAATGGCCATTGAAAGTAACAAACCTAGCTGAGATGGCTAAAATATCTGCATATCTTAAGGATCACTCAAACGAGAGATATAAATTGGACTGGAAAAAATGGATTGATTATACCTAACATAAATACGGGACTAAGAAATTTCAGATAGTTTATGATTAAAGAAATTAGGAATGATATAAATTGTTTAGAGTTAGCCTAGCAAGGAGGAGTTAAAGCTCAAGTGAAAGATGTTATTAACTTTTTTTTTTCTTTTTAAGCTTATTTAGGAATGTTTTTGTTAAAGATTTATACCTTGTATTGGTTCTGGGAAGTCTGGGGGGGTTTGGGGGGAGGGTGGGGGGGAGGGAAAAAAATATTTGTAAAAGTTTTTTAAAATTTTCAATTAAAAAAAAAGTGTGCTCCCAATGGTTTGTGGCTTCGTGTTCTGGCAGGGAGGAGAGTGGGCTATGTGAGCAACAACACACGAGTGGTGGGGCGGCGCACAGGCAGCCCACCACTGCTGCAAGTTTTGCAAGTTGAGCTGCATGCGCATATGCGCCGGCCTGCTGCTCATGCGAGCAAAACTGTGTGTGTGCACCAACCTGCCACTTATGCAAGTCAAACTGTGTGCGTGCGTGCACACCAGCTTGCTACTCAGGCAGCCTGCTTCCCTTCCCCTCCTCAGCCAAACTTGCACATGTTTGAGCTGTGTGCGCCGGCCATTGTTTGTGGAAGTCAAGGTGTGTATGTGTGCGCACCGGACCGCCATTCACATGGCCCGGGAGTTGGGGGGACCCCTGTAGTACACACTTGCAGGAGGGGGGGGGTCTTTCCCAAAGACCAGAGGCAGCTCAGTATGGAATCTTTGATCTATAGGAAGCGAGTCAAGAGTTTTGCAGATTGGCGCTTTAATCTAGCAAATTTCTGTGTATAGATGAGCTGCAATAATTAAAAAAAAACAACATCTGGAGTAACTCCCATCATTCTTGCTTCCTTGCGACAATTTACCAAAAATAATATATATCTTTAGTGTTAAATTTCACCACACAAACAAGCTCTGTTTTGCATTTTTTTTTTCTTTTTACTGAGCTTTGGGAAGAAAAAGACATTGCAACCTAAAATAAATTACATATAATGTACAATATGTATATATGTATATATGTATATATATTTATACACATCCAGTATGTATATACACACATATATTGATATAGGATCTTTACAGATGTCTTCTGATCAAAACTATCCACTTCCAAAAATCTAGAAAACAGCTTTGTGCAAAATTAAATAAAATCATTTCACGGTTTGTAAAGCTTATAGAAAAATATAATTTTGTCTAAAGAAACCTTGAAATGTTTCCGTATGTTTTGTTGTGTGTTAAGAGTGTCATGTGAAGTTACCAAATTAATCATGGGCACCGAGGGTCCCACTTTAGCTCCCTTAATAGTGGACAGCTGCATGATTGACAAAAAAACAGGAAGTTCCCCCGAGCAGCAACTACGGGGAAATCATTTTCACTTTCCACATCAAGAGCTGGAAGCTGGGGGTTTTCCCCGTGTTAAAGCTGCGCTTGGATTGCAGTAACCCACGTTAGCTGTATAACTGCCAATCCATGAAAGCCGATGGCCTGGCCAAGGGCGAGCTCCGTAGCGCATCAAAGTCACCAAAGCATTAAGTAGTCCGATCAGGTGAGAATGACTGACAAATGAAAACACGGATTTCACTGACAGAGACCCTTCTTCCACATCACCGCAAGATTTCCGTTTCGACCATTTTCCCAATGTAGGTTTTGATTTACTTAACAAGCATATTCCATTTTGGCAAGCTCCCCCTAAAGTGATACGGTCCTATCCAAGTTTTTCTCAAGGAAGAAGATATATTATTATATCCGTTGTACAAGTTAGCACATAGAGCCGTTTGTACAAATAGCCTTATTTCTCCCCCTCCCCTGTCCCACAAGAGATTACTACTTTGGTTTAAATATTGATGTGTGTCTGTGTGTGTGGCCACATTTCTTTTCGGAGAGACCCCCCTACTAACAAATGCTTGTCCCTCACCTCAACTACAGTATCCTGCATAGCATCAAATATGAGAACAACACTTATCAAATATAAAGTTTTAGATAGGACACCAATATTGTAATAGAGCTTCTGATTTAAAGGTCCACAATTGTTTTTAGGAAACAGTTACAAGGTTAGTGTAATACAGATGGTTCACGGTTGACTACCAAAGGGGAAACTCTCTTTTGCATTATAGTAGATAACAATTAACCTTAAAGCAGAAGCGTTACCCTGTATTTAGTTTTATTCTGTATTTATCAAAAGTCTCTTTTAAGATATTTCATCTCTCACTCTTTTTCCGTCTTAGGATCCTGTTTGGTAGTCTTAGCAATATACAATATATTACACTGAATAATAATAAGAAAGCCAATCTCGGGGCTTCACCATGATACAGATCAAAGGAGTAAGGTCATGTTTCAGCAAGCAAAATAAAGCTAATGTTCCCCCCCTCCCCACAATCCCCAGTTGTATCTTGATATTTCATTAACAATAATAAAAAGAAGCCGGGCAGGTATAAGAAGATGATGCAGGATGGCAACACAATCCATGAATCAACAGAGAGACTTTGGTTGACCAAAGATAAAAGATAAGGTCCTCAAGAACGTAAGTTTCCTCTACTGAATAGCCGCCATGTCTTTTGCTATTGCGTGAAATGAGAAAACAAAATTCAGTTGGAAGGGGAAGAAGAAAAATAGAGACTGTTCCTTTAAGTTCCTCATCCATGCCAGCATACTTGGTATGCTATGAATTCATCATCTGAAACCTTCAGAAGCAAGGCCTCGTCATTAAAAGTAAAGTGTGGGAGGAGGAGTAAACTTCCGGTTTTCCCTTGCAGAGTGTTCATTTATTATTCATTCTCTTCTCTCATTTCTACAATGTCCGTTATTTCTTCTGTTGGAGGCATGTCGGTCATTGCTGAGTCTTCACCTTCCGTCGCAGTCTCATCATCATTCCTCTTCTTTTTCTAGGGGGGGCGGGGGAAAACAAAACAAGTTTTGTAGAAGATTGACCTGCAGGCAAAAGTTGCTTCCTTGCCTGCCTGCCTGCCTGTGTTCCAGCCATTCCTAGATCTCTAGATGGCTTAGATAAACAGTGACCCGACAAATGCGCGAACGACAGAAGAAATAACGGACATTGTAGAAATGAGAGAAGAGAATGAATAATAAATGAACGCTCTGCAAGGGAAAACCGGAAGTTTACTCCTCCCCCCACACTTTACTTTTAATGACG